CACGCATTACCATATTTGTATGAATGACTTAACAATTTAAGCCATGCAAGCATTTGACCTGCTATTCTTTGTTAACTTATGAGGACATTCTTCATCAAAACAAGAGAGAAAGTATTTCTGAATTGTCCTTCACATCATTCCTTAACCCCATGACGTTTTCCACTGAGTTAAAGAGGTTAGGAAAAGGTCACAAGACCCTACTATTTGATCCCGGCCCTGGAGAGAAAAAGGAGATGTATGATGTCTTACCTTCGCTGGTCACGCCTTCTTCCCCTTCGTCTCCTTTCTGTGGAAATAAAAACACCACGGTCACACCTGGGAGTCACTTTGCTGAAGTTAGTCCACTGAAAACCACCACAAACAAAACCAAGCTGTGCATGTGGCCATTATTATTATTATTATTATTATTATTATTTAACACACACTTACCACTTTGTATTGCATTACAAGGAGCCACTTACCTGTCAGAACCACTTGCCCAAAATTGAAAAAATAAATTAAGAAATAATAATAATATTGGATTTTTAAAATGATTTCCCATTCAATGAATACCAAAACAAATCCACCAGTTGAATGTTATTAGTAATCAGTAGTGCAACACAGTCTCATCCATTTGGGTGAAATGAGCATGAACTCTTACAATGCTTCATATTTATATATAAACACAATATGCATATACTTTTACTTTCTGGCTGCTTTCCCACTACTTTCTTCATGCTACAATTATTGGTTTTTAAATACTGCTAAATATTGTTATCCACTTGGATGTGTACTTTGTACATTTTAATTTGCATATTTCCATCTTTAAAATGTTGTGCATGGCTCTTATTTAATATTTTGCTGCTTTTGCTGTAACAATGTACATTTTCTAATAAACTAGTAAAGGTATTCTGATCACTCATTCTGGACCACTAACACCAAATGATACATGTTTTAAGCTTAGGCTAATCACACAATTTGGTTCAGATGTGCTCTCGTAGATACAGTTCATCTACTGCTAGCTCCTTCACTCATTTCCTAATGAGTAAGTGGCCTTCAGTCGTTAGTGAAAGATTGAGCAACAAGAAATATTTGACCACATATGCAACAACTACAAATAAAAACAGTAAAAGACACATTTTATCTAGGTGTTAAAGCTCATGAATTATAATTTTTTTAATGATCAGTTTTAAACAACTCAGCGTCTGTTACGATATCTCAGTGTCAGACTAAAACCAGATTATTTAAAAGTCTTTTAGAGGGAAAGCTGTATGCATATCTGCATTCAAGACCTCATGCTCATTTTCACAACGTCATCATGTCAGTTTCGTCTCCACACAACACATGCTAGTAACTTTGAGTCATCCACCATGTTACAGTGTGATTGGTCAAACGTGAGGAAATGTTATGGAGGAGGAATGTGTTATGTTCTGGGTTTAGAAAAAGTTGGGGGTAAATCAGAGAGGAGAGAGAACTGCAGGCAGAAATAATAATCATGATGTGCTCACCACATCAGTACACAGCCACTCCTCTATGTCATCCATGACAGAGGACTGGCCTCCGACACCCTGAGGGGCCGCATCGAGAGGGGGGGGTGGGGTCGGAAACACCCCGAACACAACAGAAAATATGACTTAAATGAACTTTTTAAATCATAAGTATTTTGTGAGAATAATAAACAAAGAAATGGGGATGTTTGAATGGCGTGGATCATCACACACAGTGACGATAATGGAGTTCATATGCAGGAGAATCCACTTAGAGCTGGTGATGAGCAACTGACAGCACAGCAGGTCCATGCAGATATTTCTTACACAGTCAATGACCCACAGAGCTCATGAAACAAACGCTCAAGTGTCAGGTGTGACAGCAGGGCAAGTGACGAGGGTCTTGTTAGTAAAGGGTGCAAAACAGCTCAAAATAAGTAGCCCTTAAGATCCTTGAATAAAATACCTTAAAAGATACATGCACAAACATCTCGAGATGTAGCCTGAATACTTAAGATATCTCTTTCCCGCCCAGTCTACAAATCATATTATTTTTGGCACGTGGCAACCCAATTACTGCCAAGCAAATACCAACTGAACGGGACACACTGCATTTTGTTTTACTCACTTCCACCATCTGTCATTCCCGCTACTTGGGATGGTAACTGCAAATATCTTACATAGATTCTCTTTGGTACTCGAAGCAGCTACTGATTCCCAAACAAAAGTTATCTTTATGATTTGTTTGATCCTGAGCCGTTAAATTAAACCTTCAGCATACCCAAGCAGAATTGCAAGGTGAAAAGAGGCTTGTACGATCAGAGCCGATGAGGTCCCTTCTTTGAAGCCATTCGATTGTGTTATCAACATTAGCTCATAATGTTAAAGCAAAAAGGTGTCTGTTTCTATTTCAACTTTGTGGTTAGTAGCACAAGTCAAAGCGTGGCGCACACACAAACACACTCTGAAAGTTGTTTGTGTGATTTTGAAAACACACGGTAAGATTTAAAGCCCACGCTGGACATAAAGCCCGTGTCACTGAGACTCACCACTCCTGCAGTCGGCTGCTGGACGTCCAGAGTTGGGGGGGGGTCTTCAGAGGTGATGCTGTCTTCTGCTGTAGTCCTGAGAGAAACAGGTAAAGAGTGGATTTTAGAATCATCGCTTGAATATCTATTTTTACAAATTAATCTGCAGATTTGAGCCTCAGAATGACCTCTGAGAGAAACTTAGAGGTCCCCTATTGTGCAAAATCCACTTCTTCATGTCTCTTCTACATCAACATGTGTCCCCTCTTCTTCATGTCTCTTCTACATCAACATGTGTCCCCTCTTCTTCATGTCTCTTCTACATCAACATGTGTCCCCTCTTCTTCATGTCTCTTCTACATCAACATGTGTCCCCTCTTCTTCATGTCTCTTCTACATCAACATGTGTCCCCTCTTCTTCATGTCTCTTCTACATCAACATGTGTCCCCTCTTCTACATGTCTCTTCTACATCACCATGTGTCCCCTCTTCTTCATGTCTCTTCTACATCAAAATGTGTCCCCTCTTCTTCATGTCTCTCTCTACATCAACATGTGTCCCCTCTTCTTCATGTCTCTTCTACATCAACATGTGTCCCCTCTTCTTCATGTCTCTTCTACATCAACATGTGTCCCCTCTTCTTCATGTCTCTTCTACATCAACATGTGTCCCCTCTTCTTCATGTCTCTTCTACATCAACATGTGTCCCCTCTTCTTCATGTCTCTTCTACATCAACATGTGTCCCCTCTTCTTCATGTCTCTTCTACATCAACATGTGTCCCCTCTTCTTCATGTCTCTTCTACATCAACATGTGTCCCCTCTTCTTCATGTCTCTTCTACATCAACATGTGTCCCCTCTTCTCATGTCTCTTCTACATCAACATGTGTCCCCTCTTCTTCATGTCTCTTCTAG